ATAGGAATTTGTTCTGAAAAGATACTCTGAGGCTATCATGACAGCAGCAAAAGGAAGACATTAATTTGCTTCTGAAAGCAGGCAGAAGCTCAGTGCTTGGGATGGCTCCAGCCCGTAGTCCCGGCGCTGTCCTGGCTCCTCTTGGGACGCTGTGCTCCCTTGCCCTCCCCCGGTGGAGCGGCCTTGCAGGCGATCCATCAGCCGGCGTCTGTGCCGGCGTGGCAGGGCTGCAGCCGCACATCTGATCGATACCGCCCAACCTTGACACGGAATCAGTCACTCGTGGCCAGCTCATTACTGCTGCCGAGCCGCTTGCCTGCAGCAGCCCCTTAATAGCCCTGCTCGGCTGTTGCCGAGGCACAGCAAAAGTGTTTGGCTGTCTTATTTACATGCAGCATTTCACCAGTCCCTCCTTCCCTTGCTCGCAGCTTGCCATCTGCTCCAGAGCCTCGGAGGAGACGGAGGTTGCTGAGTGGGGACAAGAGCAATCGTGCCTGTGCTTTGTCTCTATGGTGACTGAGTGCTCTCCCTTGCGGAGGCTGGGGGGGCCAGTCTCAGGCCTGCCCATTTTAGGCCTTCTCTACTAAAAACCTTACTTCGTCTGGAAGATTTTGGTGGTGTGCTTGGCTTTTATTCTGGCTTTGAAGCTGATTTTAGTTACAGCTGTTTTAATCTGCTGTGTGTTTCTTGTCACTGTGTTTGCAGTCTCCAATGGGTAGCAAAAGCTTAGGATACTCTTCCTAGACAGCAGCTTTAAAATGGCAATTTATTATTTATAAATTAGGGAATGGATGAGGTCTGGGAGTCAAGTTCCTGGGAGTCTATTAGCTGGGCAGGTTGTGCCCTGTGTCACTGTAAAGATGCTTTCCTCTATATCAGCCACAAAGTCTTAGACTTGACTCCTGACCTTGGTCATGAGCCATTAATGATCTGTGAAGGAAGAAATGCACTGACACATGCACTTTGGGGGATATTTGGTACATCTGCTAGCATGCCATTGATTTCCATGAACAAACTCTCGAGGACAGGTTTCTTTTTAAATAGCTTTTACTTAAACTGGAGTCTGATTCTTGAACAGGAGGTCCTCTGATTTCCATAAGAAACTATTTTCTGCCCTGGGGAGCAAGGATGTGGAAGGTGACAAGAAATGATGTGTGTGTGCAGCAGCAGGGCAGGAGAAGCAGCTGGACCTATTGGTTGTGGGGCACTGTCAGGGACCTCTTCTTTTCCTCCTCACACAGTCTCTTACAAGGCAATGTCACAGGCCAAGGCAGCTGCAGCAGAAAACCCAGACAGAGCAGTATGGGTGTGTTTGCTGCTTTGCTGGCTGTTGTGGTAGTTGTGATGCTCATTTGTGGTGTAGAAACCCCAATCTCCAGCCCTGCAGTGGCACAGAACTGAGGTGCAGCCCTGCCCTCAAACTCCCCACATGAGCATTGCGGGTCAGACCAATGTATGTGCCATGGCTGCCAGATAAAGTTGAAGTTTTCATGACTCTTAACTAGTTCACTAAACAACTTCAAGTGATTATCCTTTTTCTTTCCTGATTAGGGAAAAATCTTTAAATACACAGAGCATAAGACTATTCTTAGATGTTTGGGGAAGAACCAACAGTGCTGTAGAGTGAGTTGTGTTAAAGGTGTCTTCTGGAATGAAGATAGAGAAGCTTATGGGCAAGGCAAGGAATGTTTTCTAATCTTGTGTTTAGAACCACTGTCTTAGGGCCTCTGTTTATTTTCTGCTTGTCTTGTACAAAGACCAGTCTTGTGCAGCTGTGGAGGCCAAGCTTGCCCAGCTCTTGCCACAGACCCTTGGAGCTGTGAGTGCTCCCGCCAAGGGAGAGGCTGCAGTGGGAAGCTGTACTGTGTTAGCTTACAGGATTACAGAGAGGATTATGGAGAGGAGACTGTGAATGCTGAAATCACAGGAGCACTTCCGTCAGCATTTGTGCTTCCTGCCAGGGCAGTCATTGAGGAATGAGGTGGTCTCAGGAGATGCGTCTAAACATGGTGCCCTGAACCTGCCTTGATGCTCTTCTCTTACCTGTCTGCCCTGCCCTCAAGGACTCTCTCCCACATCACAGTTGCTAATGAAGGAGAGTTTTGTGTTTCAGAGTAAGATTTGTCGGCCTCTGCTTCCCCTCTTGATTTTTAGAGCTGGATATATGGTTTCACAGACAAGGACTTTGTGCTGGCTTCTTTTGTACAAATGTAGCTCCAGAGACTTGGAGGACAAAGGCAGCCTGCAGTGGCTTTGCAGACCAACTTCTGTGCAAGCAGAGACTATCTACAGTGCAACCAAAGCTATTTATTATGTTTCTTTCCAAAATGTTTCTCCTATCCAAGTTTGAATTAGACAGCAGCTTACTTTTCTTTTACATGAGCAAAGCTGGAGCTTTTCTGTGGGGTGAAATAGAAATAGATTATTTTGGCTTGTTCCATCTTGCATAATTTCCTGAAATTTGTTCCCCTTGGAAGGTTGTTGAGAAAATAAAACACCCCTCCTTGGCTGGCTGAATGGCATGAAGATGGCATGAAGGGCTGGGCTAGGTGGAGAGAAGGCCAAGCTAACAAATCCCCTTGCTTCTCTGGAGACCAGCTGAAGGTTGGCATGTTCTGGGAATGCCAGCAACCTCGTTAGTTAGTAAAATATATATTTTTTACATTTTTATTCCAAAGTCAGAAATTAAACAACCAGGTTATTAGGCTTCTAATCTTTGTGGTGCCAACAGCTGGATTGGTACATTCTTACCTGCAGGCTGGGCACTCTGGATCAAGTGGGGCTGCACCAGCACAGGTAACACAGCATTGGGATACAGTGCTCTGTTGTAGTCCACAACCTCAGGACTCGTCCAGAGAAGCAGCAGGATTCTGGGGACCAGCATGGAACACCGACGAGCCGGGCTCCTGGTTCATGAAACCATTTATTCAGCATGGGAACAAACTCAGGTCCAGAACAGAGAGCCCCGAACAGCGGCTGAGCAGGGGCTTTCAAGGGACAGAACCCTTCAGGGTCAGGGACCACTAGAAACACAAGGGAGAAACTCCCCAGGGACTCAAACCCAATCAGAACTCCTGGGTCATCCTTCACAAGGGGTTTGGGGTGGGACAATGCTTATCTGAAAAGTAACTCTTTGCCTCCCTGAGGCACTTCACAGCAGTGCTCTTTGACTGAGGCTGGGGAGGCCTGTGCAGTCCAGGGAGTGCAGGGTGATCCATGACATCAAGGTCTGAGCAGCTGCCTTGTCCATCTCCTCCTCAGCCAGACCTCAGCTCCCTCCACTGCAGTAATCCAGATGCAATCAATCTGGCACTTTCAAATATTTATGAATCATTGATGGATTTTTTTGAAGTTTGAAGTTGTAGCTTTCATGGAATTTGGTTTGATTAGCTGGAAAGTCAATATTTTCACTGTGTTGAGCAGCATTAATTCCAGCCCAGGCAGCAGCAATAACAGCACCGCAGTGCTAATGGCTCTCTGCCTGCCCTGGCTGGTGTTTAGGTAGTCTGGGATGAGCTTGGAGCATGTGGAGGAGCCTTAGAGAGGTGATAATAAAGCAGTACAGCTCATGGTGAAAATTGGCAGAGGCAGGTAAAGAAAAGGTCTATAGCAATGTTTGGGAGTCTGCAGGGTGAGGTATTGAGGCTGCCTTTCTTCATAAGTCATCTGTTCCAACACATCCAAACAAGGTGGATTGCTTTCTACCACAGCTCCCATTAACTTGTCGTAAAAGGATAAGGCACCTTCAGCAGAGTGAATCAGAACCTCGTGGGAGCAGACCTTTCTTCTTTTTAGCTGATGCAAATAGGAGTTTGATAGGTGAGCCAAGTTTTCCTTGTCTTTACAGATGAGGGAGCGAAGCCATAAGGGAATTGTTTGAGCTCAGCAGAGGCACAAACACCATATCTTTCTGTCACTTCATGCCATGACAGTCATTGCTGGCACTGGAGAGCCCACCTCTCCCTTCCATGTCTCTAATGCCTGTCCTGTTCCAAACAACCTGTCCCAGTCCTGTTCCAAAGGAGCCCAACAACTCCCATGCTAATTTGATATGGCTGAACAGGCTGACAGAGAATTTATAAGCTCTTCCCTATTAGCGTGGGCTGCAGGCAGAGCTTCCTGTGCTCTGAGGATGTCTAAGATATTTGAGTTGTGTATGACAGTGAATGTGTCTGCATCTGTCAGGGTCTGGATATTTCAGTGTCATCCCAGGGGTTAAGTGCCTGCAGTGGAAAGTCATGTTCTAGGATATTTCCCTTAAATCCATGTCATGGTGTATTTCTGTCACACCAGGTAGCACAAAGAAACCCAGTGGTTTGCAGCAGGAAATGTCTGATAACCCGTGCTCCCTGGGCAGCAACAGCTCAGCAGGAGCTGAGGAGGTTCTGCTGCATATGGATAGGATAAGCCCTTGGGATCCTGTGGCACTCTGTGGTGTTCCATGCTGACTCCATCCTGGGAAGCAGCCTTGCCTCTGCTGCTAAGGCCACAGGGACATGAGGGCCAAGGCCTTGGGTCAGATTTCTCCTGGATCTCTGGATCAGGACCTGGGAGGGAGCTGACCAGCCCGCTGTGGAAATGGGATTACATAACACTGAGTGCAGAGCATATTTCGGATAGAGCTCCTTACACACTGCAGGGCTGTCACATTGCTGTGGTCTTACTGAGAGGTGGCAAAAGGCATGAATAGCTGTGGCTGCGCCGCTGTTCTCAGGCAGGAATGAGCTGACAGGCTGGTGTTAATAGTGTGGATCACAGGTGCTCTGACGTGGAGCTTAATGGCAGCAAGGGATGTGAGGAAGCCAAGAACTGAACTGACTGTGCCAGTGGCATGCTAACCCTGCCTTCCAGTGCTCAGGGCCGTTTTTGAGGTGAATTTACACAGCCTGTACCTTCCATTCTGTTCCCAGCTGATCGTGTGTGAATTCTGGGGCACCCTTGTGGTGTTGGCATCTGTAAGAATGACAGAAGCGATGACAATCCTACTTTAAACTTCACAGGCTTTTTGGCAACTCTAATGATGCCCAGTCTCTTCTGAAGGAGAAAATGCAATAGCAGGCTGTGGAGCCTCACAAGCCTGTGCCAAGGTTGTCAGTGCTGTGAGTCTTCAGTTTGAAGGAGAGTGTACACGTGTGTACATGCATAGCCCATCCTTCATGGACTACATCCACAGTAAGTACCAGTGGGAGAGATGGCAGATCCTCACAGATTGATGCTGATCATAGAGGTGCTAATGTCTTGCTTTTACAGCTTGATCTTGTTGCTGTCTTTTGTGATGGACAATAAATATAAGCCACTTCATCCACTTTGTCTCTTCTTTAGACCTTTCTTTAAATTTGGTCAAGTTGCTGATGCATGGATTGTCTTGACCCTCACCATGAAAAGACCTGCCCTGGGATGGCCCTGAATCTCACTATAATTTCTGCTGCAATGCTTTATTTCAGACTTCATTTTGGAGGGATAAGACTGCATTCAGTCATGCTCCACAGGGTGCTAAAAGCCCATGATCTGGGTGATGCTCCAGTGGAGAGGGTTTTGCCAGCTGACTGGGTACTTCTGAACCTGAAGTACTTCCCTGACCTGGTTCTCCTGCTTTCATTTCAAGTGTTTGCTTCCCATTCTGGGTTCTTAGAGTGCATGGCAAAATGTATCCCTGGGTGATGTATGTGTGGGGAGCATGGTACAAGGATTCCCTTTGTTACATGTGAGGGAAGTGTCTCTGTACCAAGGCAGCTGTGGGGGGCAATGCCATTGAGTCTTCTGCCATAGCTGTGGGATTGTGTTCCCATTAGTCACCTCCACAGGAGCCAGATCAATTCCCTGCTACTTTGCAGTCTTCCCTGCAATTGCTGCCAAAGGAAAAGAAATGTCACTTATTTGGAAACTCTGCTTTCTTATTCTGGCAGTGAATGAATGTTCCTGGAACATCAAGAGTTCCCAGGGCTGCAAGGCCCACTTCCCCACCAGCTCGCACTGAGATGAACCAAATGTGCAGTCAAAGGGAAAGCCCAAGGATCATGTGGAGAATGGCTGCAAGTGTCTCTCCCCTTCAGACTAAAAATGTAGCGCATTGCAGCGGCTTGGCCATGGTTTTCCATAAAAAGACCACATCTGGAAATGCTGGCTCATTATCCTTGTGGGGCAGTTGTGCTTTGCTTGTTTCCAGTGGCAACCCCAACTGGAGACTTGCAGAGTCTGTGGGTTAAAATGGTGTGAATTGTCACAAGGAAAGTGGAAGGACACTTGCCAGCAGAATTGGGTGCAGCTGGTTATGGGGAGGGCTTGAGCAGGCAGTTGGGACAACTTTATGAAGCATGTATGGCGTGAGCAGCAATTGGATGCAGCGTGTGCTTGGCTGTCGTGATTAGCATGATGTGTTGCTGGCACATCAATGCCTTCCTTGCTGAAAGCAGCTCTTGCAAGAGGCACTCAGTGAGCCAGTTGCAACGAGGTGACAGTGATGCAGGAGATAAAGAGCAGTATGGGAGTGGGAACTCATGTTTTCTGGTCCTGTTCTGGGCCCTTGAGCTTGATATTGATTCTGTTTTGCAAGCTGCTAGGGAACGGGGATCCCTGATGCCTGTGTAGTGCAACATGCCTTGAACCCTACATGGTACTGTCATAGGGTTAAGAGCAAGAGGCCTCAGTTTCTTACAGTATCAGTAACCCTTGATATGCAAGAGTAGTGAAGCAAGACCCTGAAAACTTGTTCCTTCTGTTTTTAGACGCTTGTTTTTGGATAGCTGGTTATTCCGGCTGGAGAGTAAAAGTTGGCCCTTGTATCTGTCCTGGGAAAAAGAGGATGACTTCTTGAGATACCAACATTTCCTAATCTTGTCTTCTAAAAGAGCCTGCAGTTCTTCCCACCTCCATGCTACCTGTGAATTTAATGAGTTTCCTTTTTGCTCCTTAATCCAGCTCAGGAGTAAAAGTTCTGAAGAAGGCAGGTGTGTGACAGGCTTCTACAAAATCCTGTTTGTCAATATGCTCTGCCTTTGTAGCAGAGGAGAGGGCTGATATCTGCTCTTTACACATGGTTTTCTGAGCAGTTTTGTGCCTGCCCTGTCACTGTTTCTCTTAAGACCACATTCCCCTGGCTGATGGGAGTGGCAGCCTGGGCACTGTCAGAAACCTTACTGTAGTGGAGGTGTCTGACAGGGAGTCCCCAAAGCCTGTTAGGCTCTTGGAGGAGGGAGAGAGATGGGAAGTGATGTGATTTGCTTTTGACAAATCCATATTGGCTGCAACTCATCTCCTTGTTATTGCATTGATTTTTGGAGGGCTTGGAATTGGGTCCTTGAGGAAACAGTGCAGTGTGTATTAAGGTACAAGAGCTTCCTATCGGTTGTGGTTATGTTGTGGTTGTGTTGTTGGCCACTGCTCTTGAAGTGTCTCTCCTGTACCCCAGATGGTTTTTTGCTCCTCAGCACCCCTGAGTACCTGTCTGTGTCTCCCCTGGTGGTGTTTTGTCACACCCCAGTGGCTTGATGGCACAGTGGCCATGGATGTGGCCCTGCAACAGGCTTCAGGCGACTTGCTTTTCTTTCTTCCTTTGGAAGAGTGGTCTGGGATTCAGTCCCATCTTGCTCACAGCATGCCAAGCAGGTTGTCTGCTTGGGAGCACCAACAATGCTCAACCCCCAGATCATCCCACCTATGACATCTCTTGGGGTGCTGACAGCTGTGCCAAGTGGAAGGTGAGATTGTTTGTGCTGCTGTAGCAGCAGTTGCTTTCTCCTGTGTTAAAGATACTGCTTTTCCCCCTCCCTCATGAAGAGGCTTGGCTATGGAAAGGCAAGGTGAGGCATCATTTCCTTCATCCCTTTTGTCTGAGTTGCCATCAAAGCCATTACAGTGCCAGAAAGTGACTTCTGACTTCTGCCAGCAAAAATGGCAGCACAAATTCCTGTCTATTTGGAGAAAAGTCTAGCTAAGGCAGGTTATTTACTTACTCCTCTGTGGTTGCTATGATATCATATGTGTGGTGCTGGGTGAGAGTCCCATGGAGGAGATCTGCTGTAGGCTTGAGGGGCTGAACCTAAAGCCTGTTGCTGGCTCAGGACTGCTGTAGGGAGGGGATGAGGCCACTTGTAGATGATACAGTGGATGGGTGGGACCTGGTGGTGGCTGTGCTTTACCAATCCTGGCTTTTCCAGGTCACAAAGCAGCAGAGGGATGTACAAAGCTAGCTTTGTTATGAGGGTGTTGATAGCATGAGAGGTGCTGGCAGGCAGTGGGGCCCATCTCTGAGAGCTGGAAGTGACTAGATCCAGGGGCATGTGGGCAGCAGGGCAGAGGAGAAGGTAATTTCTCTGTTCTTTAGAGTCTCAGAAATGTAGTTGTATCTGGGGCAAAACATGTGGGCTGTGCTTTTCTACCTGTATCTTTCTTACCTATATCTCTGATCAGAAGCAAATTGTGCATTTGAGTAGATAATGTCTTCATATATCTTTTTCATATAGTCTTCATATAGGCCCAAGATATGTCTTCACACAGTGAAGTGGTTCAGATTCCTCCAGAGATGGCTGAGGTGACCTGGTGGACTTGCCCTGCAGTAGTGCTCAAAAGAAATGTCAGCTGTCTTAGGGTAACTGAAGCTTCCTGCTGTCCCTTGTGGGGTCAGTTTGTGGGCTTGGTCACTGGGTTTGCTTGGCTGACACACTCTTGGTTTCCCTCTCCTCCTTAGCCACTGGAGAGCAAGCAGAAGTTCTGCAGCTATCAGCCGCCAGGGAAGGAAAGCACTGGAATACTTAAAAAGCAATTAATGTTTGCCACCACAAATCTAGCAGTGCATTGCTCTTTCCAGTCGCATTCCCTGCCTCTGGCCCCCTCACCACCTGCTGCTTTTTGTGGGTTTTGTTTTATCAGTTGCTTTTCATTTTCACTTGAGCTGTCAGTGAGAGCTGAAGTTCAGATTAAGTTGCAGCTGAGATGTGCTTTGCTGGGGATTATGGAACTGGCTGTGTCTGTAGCTGCCAGGTAGGGCAGAAAAAACAAAGCTTTTTAGCAGGCTGTGAGCAGACAGAAGCCTCTGCTTTCCAAGGCTGAAAATGGTGCTCCCAGGCTTCAATCTGCACTGGTGAAACCAGTACCACTTCCTTTATGGAACTGGTTGATTCAGTCTGAATTGGGCAACTGGTCTGACCTCCTTGGTGAACTGGAGCCTCGGGGCCAGGCCAGAGAGCTGCAAACACTGGTGGAGGCTCGGGCATCACCTGAGAAGAGCAAAGTCTGCCCCCACTGAAGCATTTTGGTCTGATGCAGGTTCTCGGTGTAGTAGAGAGAAAAATTGAGGCTTTGATATATATCTCAGCCTTTTGGGGTTTTTTGTTTGTTTGTTTTGTGGAGTTTTTTTTATTTTGCTTGGTGAGTTCAATTTCTGTAATTGCTTCCTCCAGGAAGCTCCCTGGCTGTGTCTGTTGAGAAGATGAGGCATCACCTGAGGCATAAAATGCAACTGCTGTGATCTGGGTGGGCCAGAATGGGCCAGAGAAATCCATGGAGAGAGGGATGGCTTGGACACCAGCAAATGGACCTGTAGGGCTGGTCTGAACTCATGGACTGTACTGAGTTAAAATAACCAACACTGAGTGGCTGTGTTTTTCAAAATGTTAAAAATATCCCAGATCCTTCGTAAATCCAAGGAATGCAACCACAGTTGCCTAGCACAAGTGTGGATGACTGTCCTCCCTCAGAACTGTGGTGGGAGCTGCAATACTTGTGCTGAGCTGATATTTTAAGGACCCTTAGAGAGAAAATTGCTTTGAGTCTTTAGTTTGGCAGTTGGGCTGACCTAGGGTGAGATGCAGAGCACTGGTTCAGGGTGCCCTGCTCCTGCTGGTGACGGGGGTGAAGTGACCTCATTCATTGCTCTCTTAGGGCAGAAAGTCCACTCCATGAACTTGCATGTGGCTGGTGCTACATATTTGGAGAAGACTGTCATGTTTCCCAAAGAGTCCTAAATTGCTGTGAGAGTTTTGCCATCCCAGAGTGGCAGGCCCAGCTCTCAGGTTGCTGAAGGCATTCCCACTTTGCCCATCTCTGAGGCTCACTGGGCTGTAGTGGTGTCACACCACAGCCCTGGGGTTTATGTTGCTGTTGTATGACAGGAGCACAATGATGTATTTAGCCTTAGCTCTGCCCCTCATTTCTGTTGTGTCATTGCAGCCTGTTGCCAGGTGCCACTGGCATCTCCTCCCTCTGAGCCCTGGATGATAGAAGCCTGATTTCCATCCTGCTACCTCCAGGCCTTTCTTTCCTTGCCACTCTCATTTCCCTGAGTCTTTCCAGGAGAAATTCACCAAGGGAACCTGCTATTGCTGGAAGGACTGCCATTTTCAGATCTGTAATCACCCACCTGCCCTGTTGAGCTCCCAGTGTCACAGACATAGCCTTGCTTGCTGGGATGCACTTGGCAGGAATGCTGCACATCTTAGCAGTGGCCAAGGTGATCTCTCAATGCATCTGTGTGTTGTTGAGATAGCACTTATCTGTTGGGAGAGAGAGAGAGTCAGCAGGCCTGACCTCCAAAGCACAAATGAGACTAAAACATCGTATCTGAATCTCTCAGATGATCTTTCAGATCTCCTTCCACCTACAGAAACATGCAAAAAATCAGTAAATATGATAGCCAGCTGCTAAAAGATGCTTGGTAGAAAGATGATTGTGCTAATGGGGAGCAGAGTGAGGTAGTGTGGTGCTTGCAGCCACAAAGGATGCTATAAATTGGGTCCTGTGTGATGATGAGCCACTGTCACAACATATGGCAGCCAGTGTGGGCTGTAAATTCTAAGCCCCTCGGCGGGTGCCTGCTACCACCCAAAATGGCTCACAGCCATCTGCTGGGACTGCTCCCACCTCCTGCTGGAGGCATGGCCTGAGCCTGTGTTTCCTGCTTGAAGCCTTTGCAGAGCAGCTGCATCCTTTCCTTGGAAGGGTTTGGAAAGCTGGAGGCCCAAATGTTTCATGTAAACCTTCATGTCAACAGCATGTCCACATATCCATGTGCTGGAGATGTAGCAGATGCTTCCTGCCCTCCTCAGCTGTGTGCTCCCTCCTGGAAGGGGCTGGGATGCTGCAGGTCCTGAGGGTTCATGTCCAGTCTGAAATTCCTCAAACAAGGCACAACAGTGAAAGTTTGTTTAAAATTCCCTACCGTCTAATCTCCCCAGATGCTGGTGAGATAACAACATTTTTTTTGCAGTGTTACTCAGCAACGAAAAAATATTTGGGTCAAGTTGAGCTGTTTACATTCGTCTTGGTTTATCCATCTTGTAGGGAATGAAACAAGTTTCTTGTTAAGTTTTTCCCTCTTCATTTTATTTTTATCTTGGTGCTTTGTATAAAAAGTAATCCATGTGAATCATGGATATTATGATTCCAGTCATGATGAAGGCCTTGTGACATCTGTGCTGTGATGGTGGTACACGAGGGATGAGTAAGCTGTGCTCTGTGCAGTGAGACCCAGCCTGGTGTGCATCTCCTGCATTTCCTTGGCCTTCTGGAGAAGTCTTAGATCATGAAGCTGTGTTGGAAATAGGAGTACATTTATCTCCAGTCTTCTAATGAGGTGCCCAGCACCCCAGGGTTTCACACGTGGTTCTCCAGTCTGTCTGTGGAAATGCTCTTGAGGGACCAGACCAGTTCTTTGCACACATACTAAATTTTCATGGATTCTTTACTTTCTGATTCAAAGTGAAGGTTCAAATAACAAAATGTCTTCCAGAAGTCAGTTTCTGATTTTTGTGTGATCACAAAGTGCTGAAAAAGAGACTTACCAAAGGATTGCTTATGCTGGGCCTGGTCTTAGGGAAGGCTTAGTTATCTCTGGGGATCCTAAAAACCATAATTTGACTGAAGATTGTCCCATAGCTTTAGAATAAATATCCTATCCCCGTTCCAATGTATTGGCCTCTCTGATTTGTGCTCTGTGTCCTGGGGCTCTGTTGGTTTCATTGAACTAAATCATTAAAGTGATGTAGGCTGTAAAACTAGAAACGAAACCATCACTGAAGGAGCTTATCCTGTCTGTGAGCCCTCTGAATTTACCAGCCCGAGAAGCTGTCCCTCCCTTTGGACCTCTTTGGAAGTGTTGCCATTGAAAAGGATGGAGAAAAAGCCCCCAAGAACCAGGCTGGAGACAGATGATGCTGCACCAACTCCAAGGAAGTGCCAGGCCTAGCTGAATAATCTGAGACCATTATGTGTCATTTAGGTCAAGGGTGTTATCCTGACACCCTTGCCCCATGCACAGAGCTCTAGGTGTTGCCACAGGGTTCTGGGTAAGGGGTGGATGGCTGCTTCCAGGAATACCTGGGACTGCCATGGGAGGTGAGTCACATGCACATAAATAGGGAGTAGGTCTTTGTGTGGGCATTAATATGTTTGTGTGACTGAGGGAATGAAAAAAAATAATAAACCCTACCAAAACTGTGTTTTATCCTTTTCTTCCCAATGTGTGCTGTGAAGGGAAGAAGGGGTCTTCAGGGACAGCAGGACAGATCCTTCTCTGGAGCAATTCTTTGTAGCTCTGTTGATTTAGTTGGCATTTCACTGATTAATACCAGTTGAGAATCCAGGCTGGAGTGTTTTGTATGCTTGTAAATAATTGAATGCCGTGTGAATACAATGATGTAAAGGAGGATGGAAATAAAGCAGAGACACTGAGAAATTTCAGATTTTTTGCTACAAGGCTTTTATGTGGAAACACATTGGCATCTTGGCTGTTAGGCACTATGGTCGAGTGTGAGGGTTTTTTCATCATAATTATAAGGAGTAGAGCTGGAGAGCTGTTGAAAATGTGAAAAATGGCAAGTACATGTCAGATGGGGAGAGGGAGGCTGCTGCCAGCTGTTTCCCCCTCCCTCTGCCTGACTAGGTTTGATAAATATGCATTATTTTTTAATACTAAAAATGAGTCCTAGTTCTGGAAAGGTGCTAAGTTGAGAAACCTGGAGGTTATAGTCCTCGTTATCCAGCAGCAGCACAAACCTCCCGTGTGCGCTGAGGGACCGAGTTAATGCACATCTGCTTTGGAGGAGGCCAAGAGATGCTGCTTGTGGTGATGGTGTTTTGTGGTGTGGGCTACAGGCTCCTTTTACACACTGGCTGCCAAATCCTTACCCATAAAAAATGTCTTTTAACAGCTGTGGTTGGTGGGAGCTGATGTTGACCTGTCCCTCCTCACTGGTCTGGAGCAGTTGCCAAATTCATGCCTCTCTCTCTGTTTGCCCTGCATAACATGGCTTTGACAGCTCCAGCCCCTGCTCCCAGGGAGATGTGAGGTTAGGAAATCAATTGATGTGTTTAAACCCATCTGCATGTGTGATTTAGGGACAAGACACGAGCCAAGGCAGTGGCCTGGGAGCCAGTGGCTGCCCTTGGCTGTGATGAAGGCACTCCAGGGAGCCTGGATGGAGGCTGCTGATATGCGGATGTGTGCTTCAAAGCCTGGAGGTTTCCCAGGAGCTCCCACGGGAGGAGGTGAAGCTGTGAGGACTGGAAGAGGGCCTGCAGATCATGTGTGAGATTCCTAAAGCTGTGGCTTCTGCATGATCTGGTCACCCAGCAAAGAGGGGCAGTGTCTGCCTTATCTCCTCACAAACCGGGAAGAAGAAAATGTGAGTGTTTGGAGAGAGTTATTCTTCTTTCTAAAGATTAATGACTGAATTCCAGAAAGACTCAGGTTTGGTGAGAGCCTGTGCACTTGTCTTTTTGCAGAGTAGAAATTAATGTCCCTGATTTCCCGTTCCCTCCTGGGTACAGGAGGGGCAGCTGGGGCAGCTGTGCAGCAGCACGAAGCAGGAGCTGCAGGACCTGCTGCTATCATTTCATGTCTTGCCCTGCTCGGGCTGTTGGTGAATTTCTGTGCTTACTCTTTTGAGGAGCCATTATATTCTTTTGTCACTGTCTGGAACTTGAAATACAAGTCAGTTGGGAGCAGGTGAGGGGTTTGTGCTGGGAGTGAGGCAACATAAGAGTGGTGACAGATGCCCTCCATTTCTTGGATGATGAGCACAGTGCAATGCCATAAGCCATTTTTATCCAGAGCTTGGAATTTTCTTGATGTAGTATTTATCAGTTAGCTATTCACTATATTGCAAATCCCTTTCTGCTGCAAGATGTTTGCTCTGCTGGTCTTTGGGTTGGGACAGCCTGCACAGACTGGGTGGCCCCCCCTGCTACCTCCAGCCCTTGCTCAGGAGGCACTCACTCCCACTCCAGTGGGACTGGAGTAGCATAGAGTGGTGAAGTCAGGATTAAGATGTGCAGATAGACACTGAAATCCCACAGATGGTTGCCCTTGGGATAGTGATGCAGAAGGGCTGGTGCTCTGAGGGCAGACTGCAGAGCCCAGGTGAAATCCCAACTGAGAAATCACAGGTATGATGCACAGTAGTGCTGGGGGTTAGGAGCTTTGCCTGTGTTCTGAGAGAAGGTGACAATTTGTAGTGTCTACAGCTCTACACTGTGTAGAACCAGCAGTGCTGTCCCAAGCAGACAGGTAGCAGGAGGGCAGGATTTAGGGGCTGCAGAGGTAGTCAGACCTGGAGCCTATCCGAACATTCACTGCAGGGGTAAAACCAGAGCCCGTGGAGAATTGTCAAGCAGCAATTATTAGAGAATATGGTGCTGGGAAAGAATTCAGGCCTAGCCCCGCAGACTCATTCCAAACCATTGGAATTAAGTATTAAGCATTAAGAATTATCCAGACAACCTTAATACCTTCAGCAGTGGGACCCTGAGAATCACTTGGAGAGCAAGGGACTTGCATGCAGTCTGGTATATATAGATATATATATATATATACTGCTGGCCACTAGCAGTACCCACAGAGTAACATGCTGTATCTCTCACCTTGACTTCACTCCGTTGCTGTTATCTGAGACTAAACTGGCACCAGGTTCAGCTCAGAGACTTCCTGCTGCTTGGGGGGTTCTGGTGAGCCATTAATGCAATATTGAAATATTTATTTCATAAGAATCCACCAGGAAAACTAAATTTCCAAATAAGCCAGCCCTGTAGGGGAACTCTTGAAAGGACACCGAAGAAAATGTTAAGCTCCCTGAAAAGCAATTTTTATTTTTTTTTAAATGGTATGGGGACCTGGGGTGCAAAGCTACCTTTGGCAGGAGTGCCTACCTTTCTCTGAAAGACAGCAGTGAGTACATGGGCCAAGGGGTTCCTATCTAATTTAAATATAGGAAAATGGAACTTGGTAACTAAACCATCCTCATGACATTCCTCATACAGTAAATAGCTGATTTCTTTCTAGATTTCACTTTCTAGAGTGAAACACCAGTGCTAGGGCATTGCCTTGGCAAGGAAGGAAAACAGCAATAAAATGCTAAAATGGCAATAAGAAGCACTGCTTTCAAACCCTCCTTTGTAACTGGTGTTTCATCTGTCTCAGGCTTCCCAGGGTCTGCTCTGCTCCGTGAGCTCCCTGGGGTGCATCAGGATCATTCACTGGCCAAGGCTGGGGCCAAGAGCCTGATGTGTGTGTTGTGTCTGGGAATTCATCACTGAGAATCTCTTACAAGTCCCTGGGACTGACCCCACACCATTGTCCCCATAGGGGAGGGACAGTGGGGTGCCTCCACATAACTTGCTTACATTAAAGCATCAAGTCAAAGCAGGAGTCAAACTAGAGGGGATGCTCTGGGCTGATTGATGGAAGGGCTGTGAATATCCAGGAGGGTCTGTCTTTGTGGTCCTGCCTGTCTCCCAGGTACTGGCAACCACTTAACCACAGCTTGCTTACTGCTGAGAGGTGGTGGAAAGGGTTAAAGCTGGAGGAAGGCAAAGCTTTTTTACTGAAATAGGTCAAAAATGCTCAAGTGGTGACGTTTTCATGCCTGCATGTTGCAGGGGCACTTGTAAGAGCACTATTTAAAAAAAAAAAAAAAAAAAAAGAAGTGAGATTTCTAATCTATTATTCATTTAGGAAACATCATTTCAGTGTAAAATAAAATATTTTCCTTTTCCGCCTCATTCTTAATATACTCTCTTCTCTCTTTCTCTCTGGCCTGCTTCCCTCCACCCTGCAGTGCTCCAGGGAACAGTGTGTATAAAATTATTTTGTAAAATCCAATAAAAATTTTAATCAGGTCAACATCATTACAGGAAAGGAAATTGATGGAGCTTTCCTGATCCATAAAGAAAAGCAACGTAAACATGCAGTTGTAGAAAAAGGAGCACAGAGCTTCACACCTGGACACCACACAGTGTCTTTTCCTCCTCCTGTCTCCATGGAGCACAGTCTCATGTTCAGCCAAATGCATGCACATATCTCTCATCCCCTTGCACATACACTAAATATACTCCAAAATATGGAATCAAGGAATATTGAGTTGGGAAATCCAGCTCCTGCCCCTGCACAGACACCCCAGCAACTGCACACTGTGCCTCAGAGCATTGTCCAAATTCTCCTGGAGCTCTGGCAGCCTTGGGGCTATGCCCATTCCCTGGGGAGCCTGGTCAGTGTGCCACCACCCTCTGGGGGAAGAACCTTTTCCTGATATCCAGCCTAACCCACCCCTGACACATCTTCAGCCTCTCCCTGAGGTTCTGTCAGTGGTCACAGAGAGCAGAGATCAATGCCTGCCCTATGTGAAAATGCTGCAGACCCCAGTGAGGTCTCCCCTCACTTTTCTCTAGGCTGAGCAAACCAAGTGACCTCAGTCACTCTATTCATGGATGTGACAGATGACTCTAGACCCTTCTCCACCTTTGTAGCTCTCCTTCAGACACTTTCTAATTGCCTTATGGCAAAGACAAAAATGTCTTTGGCCAGTGCCCTTTAGGAGAACACCCACCTCAACCTGACCCTGTGGCCTGTATGTCCCAATATTATCTATAAACCATGGTAAAGCAGAGGGACCAGCCAGTTCTGTGGCAACTCCTCTTTTTAATCCCTGTCTCTCCAATTACCATGGAGGGGAATAAAAAGCCCTGGTAGCTCTGAGGATTTGCATAGTGTATTAAGGCTTGCTAAGATCTCCTTATCCTGACATTTACAGAAACTGCAGCTGCTGAGGCTCCTTTCCATCTTCCCTCTTTTTCAGATTAAATCTGAATTTCTAAATCTGCCAGGAGGGAGCAGAGGGAGGGATTGGGAATATAACTGCCTCGCCCCAACCTGGGTTTGTTACCACGAAATGTGGAGCTGGGCCAAGCGATAGGAGTGATGGATATCCGTGCAGGTCAGAAGCCCTGGGGGAGAGGAGAGACATACCAAGCCCTAAAAGTAATACGCTGTTGACATCAAGGGATTTGCAAAAGCCTCCAGGAATGAGTGCTTGGAATAATGCAATTTTGCCATAGGATTTCTTGAGAGAGTGCAGGAGATGCTGACTACCTCCAACACCCTTCCCACTGAGGTCAAAGTGGTGGTTGTGGATGCGAATGGAGCTCTGGAGATGAGCACCATCCTCTGAGGATCCCACCTATGAAGGGGAAAATGTGATTCCTAAGATCAACACGGCTCATGGTAGAGGCACCCATCTCTGCACTGCTGGGATTTCTCCCATGGAGTGTGGCTTTCCTCAGGGAAAATGAAATAACCATGGACCCTTGTGCTTTTCTGATTCTGCTGGGACATAGGATTGTCCTGGAGGACAAGGGCTGGTTTTTGCAGTTCAGAGAAGCAGAGATGGGAGTTTTAGCTCTTGGGA